GGAACTCCAAAATGGTTCTATATAGAACCATTTTTTTTTTTTTTGGTAAAAGGTTCTATTGGCCAAGTATGGAACCCATATAGAACCCAGAGGAACCCTTTCCAAATACGTAGCGCTGATAGAACCTTTTAAGGTTCTATATAGAACCTTTTCTTCTAAGAGTGCTGCTTTCATCCACGTTAAATTCAAAATGGTGTCTAACATGACTAAGGTCTATGCCTTTCTCACCATGTTACGAATTCAAACATTTTTCGCAAACCGACCATATTTCTAAAGACCAATTATTGATTTAGTGTCAAAAATCAGATAAGATGATCCAAATTTGTTTTGAGTGAGTCTGTTTTAAGGATTGCTTTAAGAGCTGTTTGACATGAATTTGAATTTTACAATAAAAAAAAAATTGATAGCAAACCCTGTTAATAAAAATATGTATCCTTTTTGCCGAAACAAATTTCTACCCTGTTGTGATATATCAACTGAAAAACTGAAAAGATATTTACATCATGACAAAAATTCTGAGAATTAGGATCTGGATATAAACACAGTGCAACAAAAGACTGTACTCCCATTTCCTACAATAGCCATCCATGGAAACGGAGACAAATCTAGCACAAAAGAAGACATGGCAATAAAAAATGTGTCTTTGTAGAGCCAGAGATTGGTGTCAAGCCGCAGACCCATTAACAACCTGCTGCTGTGTAGAGATAACCCGAGTCAGCTGCAGTAATGCTGGAGATGTTACAGTGCATGATTGAAAAATAGTTTATCTGTATGTGAAACAGCTGACAAGAGCGATAAGACATTTGTCCGTGCCAGAGCATCATGACAAGAGGCGAACAGACACAGCCTTATTACTTGAGTAAAAGTACAGATACCCCTTGCTAAATTTTATTCAAGTACAAGTAAAAGCACTACAGTCAGATGTCTACTTAAGTACAAGTACAATTCTACATGGAGTTATGAAAAATGTTAATGTTAATTAATACTTTGGAGAATGTAAAGTGAAATCAAGTCATTTTCATATTTTTTACCATGTTGCTTTATCTAAAATTTAAGAAAATTGTTAAAAATTCAGAAAATTTAAATAGGCTGGCGAGGTGGGGCCACATTCACGGGATTAATTCATTGTTTCATCCATGGTTCGTCTCTTATCTAAATCTGACCATGGAGTTGATTTTGGCGGAAAGCTGAAAGTGATTGCTGATAGCTGTCCCAATCAGTGCGCTTGCACAATCCAATCACGTTTGAGAGGGAAACAACAAATTGAGGGTTTCCGAGATTTTTCTTATTTCCTTTTTTTTTTTGTAGTAATGGGTACTCGGTTATGGATAGAAATGTAGAGGAGTAAAGAGTACAATATTTCCCTCTCAAATGTACTTGAATAAAGTCATGAGTACAATTTACAATCACACTCTCTACACTCTGAAAAGTAACTATTCACCAAAAGTAATACTATTCCCCAAAAGTAGTACTCGAGTAAAGTACAGATCCCTCAAAATTGTACTTAAGTACTCCACTCAGTTAAATGTAGCCTACTTCGTTACTGTCCGGTTCTGATGACAGGGTGCAAATATATAAATATATATGTTTACCAAATATTTTAGTAATAATTATTTAGGTATCAAAATCAATATATTAAGTGTCATTCAAAAGCTTAAACACTAATTTAGAAAAAACGTTTTAAAATTTAACATTGCATTACCATAAGTGTACTTTAGTTCAAACAATTTTAGTGGGCTCACTTTTGATATGAACTTCAAATTTGGAAAACAACTTTGTTAGACTTTTTTTTTTTGAAATATGTATTTTCTATAAAATCTTAATGTTTATTTCAATACATTTGCTTTACAGTAAGTAAATATAAACCTGTATAAGTTTTAAACACATTCACTTCTGAAATAACGTGTTTTTAAAGAGACCAACAGTAGGTCTTTATTCAAAAGCATTCATAATTTACAACTATTTAAATACACTTATGAAACGGTTAGTTCCAAGATTGATTCTGATTGGTCAAGCTGTGCTTTATCACGATAAAACACGTCTATGACCGCTTCAACCAACGGTTCTGTTTATCACTGCGCAACACTGCAGTTCCTATGCTGTGTTGATTTGAGCTGTCTTACGCATTGGTACTTTGTTGCTGTTCACGGTAAGGGACTATTTTTTTTCTTCCGAAAAGAAGGCTTTTAGTGATTTTACTTCATGAAAGTTGCACTAATACATTTTTTTTACTTTAATTTGTTTATTGTGTGGTAACCGTTTTATAAAAGCAAGGTATAGCCTACTCAAGGCAAGTGCCAACACAGTCTCACGAAAGTGCGTTTCCACGATTGTCATTTCTTGTGGCATTTATACGCCAAAAATGGTTTTTGCGTGCATATGCTACCCACTGAAAACCCGCGGGTAGGTTTAGGGGGAAGGGGGGTGGAGTTCGTATTATAGCTACGCCAAAAAGTGCGTATCAAATGTACGCGAAAAACGCGTACCAACTAATTTTGGCGTACATAAATGCCACGAGAAATGACATTCGTGCTATACGAACTTTGTATCGTGAATAAATAACGGCTGAAGGGGTTACTCCGCTTCGCGTCGTGCCTAACAACGCCCTTCAGCCGTTACTTATTCACGATACAGCACAGCCTCTCGAACCTTATTGCTTACATGCTTAAAGGGGTAACAGTTAAAAAGTTAAGGTGCAGCTTCTAATTAATAGTCCATATATTTATATTTTATTTATTTAGTTACAAGATATATTTTCAAAGCTTTTATAAAAACAACATATGTCTTGAGAAGCATAGTGGAAACTTTCGATATACCTTCAGTGGCAGAGTCCAGAGTGAGGTTGGTGGAAGCAGGTGCGAGTCCGATCCACCAGTCCTGCTCCGCCTGCAGGTGTTTTTGGAGAAACTGTTGGGTCTCATCAATCTGGATAAAGGCCAGGTGCCCACCGCCCCGCTCACACCAAGCCTGAGCGCTGAGGAAACTGCGCTGGAGAGTCACAAACTCATAGCAGGAGCTCTCAAAGGCCTGCTGGTGCTCTGGACATGAGAGAACCTCCTCGTCGTCACTCCAGATCGAGATGACATGAAAACTCACAATTAGAAACAGAGTGTAGAGAGTGTGATTGTCCATCTTCATCCTTCAACCTGTACATGAACAGAAGCAGCCTGATCCCGCTGTATTTAAAGGACACTGACGTCCGCCCCCAAAATGAGAGTCTGATGCTACCAATAGACTTGTTCACAACAATGGTTTGACTGCTAGACGGCTGGCCTTTGTGATGTGCTCTTAGATGCATTAACACAAACCATTTCACTGCATTGTGCCCCTCAGGCCCCTGTGTAAATAACACTACAGAACCATTGAAGTCTACATCCACAGCCTGGGCAGAGGGAGATAAGACAAGTGTTGAATCCAAAAAAACAAAGCTGGCATCTGATAACCAATTACAAAAATCTTTAATACACTTTAAATATAAATCCCCTTGTTGTTTCTACTGTTCATTCAATTAAAAATCCAACAGTAAATACAATTAATAATTTTAGTTTGAGTAAAATGTGAAAGAAAAGCATATTTCTATGTTGCGCCAATCCCCAAGTTTCTGTGGGATTCTGGTTATTAGATGGTTCAGGTCCATCCTTCAGTGTATTATTTATCTTTTATTGTCCGCCAGGCAAAAACAATTAAAAGTCTGACCACTTAGAAAAACAACAGGAATGATAAAATACTCATTTTGAAAAATAATGTAAAAAATGTAAACCCTTATCCACAAAATGAAACTAATATGCATGTTGTCATGATTTTAGTGTAAAAATTACCTTGTGGAAAAAAAGGTTGATTTAACAGACTTACAGCATAAACAATTCACAATTTGTAATATAAGAATTAATGTTAGTTGACTTTATAAAATTATAAGCTTCACATTTCTACTTTTTAATTCTCGAATAATTGGCCCCATTCACTTCTATTGTGGGTGCCTCACTGTTCTATCTAAGACAGGTAAAAAAAAAAAAAAAGAAAAGAAAATGTGTGTGCCAATCAAAATTTATACCAAAAATAGGAGAGAATACTATGTCCTCCATTCAGTATGCTCTTAATGTTCAGTGTGCACCCGACGTTCAGCGTCTTCCTTCAAATTTCCTTCATACTACCATATTTTTTAGTATATAGAAGATATATAACATACTTTTTTACAGTCGAAAAGTAAATTCCAATTCAAATGTATTACTCAGTATGCAATTCAGTCTTTATAAACTCCTCCTTTTCGCAATCGTACTCTGCTCTGATTGGTCAGACGGCCCAGTCTGTTGTGTTTGGTCTATTGCTTACAGTATGTGTCGAAAATGAACCGCCAATTACCATATCTAAATTTCAGCTCCAGAGGCTTCCTCCACGTTGGTTATATCATTTTAATTCCAGCGTGAGTCCGCACAGGTCTGCAGTGGATTTGCAGTGCTGAAAACAGCATCTTCTCGACGTGTCAACAAAACAAACCAAGACACAAATACAGTGTTGAAAACAGGTCGAATTAGACGTTATTCAGGGGCCGCCAATGAAGAACATAGGCCTGCATTATGTAAATATCTTAACAAGAGGGCTGTCGACTCATTTCGGCAGTTCAGAATCAATTCTTAAGGAGAAAATCACTGTATTTGTTGTGCACTTTGATCTTTGCAGACCTTTTAGATTTACAAACAACTTGATATATTACACACTGCACAAACGTTTATATTAAAAAAAAACATAATGGCACTTTAATATCTCACAAAATTAAAAAAAAAATCATAACTGACAATCAACAAATGACAAAAAAAATTGCTGGCACACAAACAGTGTTTCTTTTAGACTGAGAGAAAGGTGCATCGATATTTGCGTATAGCTGACAAACTCTGTTTATTTTATCAGGAGGAACTCAGCTGTTACATAATGATTCAGAAACGCAACTAAGGTGACGTGCGTGTATATGTATGAGATTGAGATACCGTATGAAGCGTGCGCGTGTGTGTGTGTGTGTGTGTGTGTTGCAGCACAGTTATGTCATTGGCACTGAGCGCTCGACTTCAGCTCGGCATGTTGTCTTTTTTCTGGAGAAACGGAGTGGAGACACCGGAACCGCTTAAAGCAGACGTGTCAGGTAACGTTTCTGAGGGGGACATTTACATGTAAGGAACACAGTTGTGACGAGCTATATCCTCAAGACCAGATGTTAAAGGAATAGTTCACTTCAAAATGAAAATTCAGTCATAATTTAGGCTACTCGCCTGTTGTTTAAACCTGTGTGAATTTTTTTCTTCTGCTAAAAACAAAGGCATATATGTTGGTAAGTAACCGGACAGTTGATGTAGGCTACCCCAAAGACTTCTAGTAGGAAAAATAAAATAGCCTACCATGGAAGTCAATGTTCCATATTAAACAAACAGCATTTTGCAAACAAACTCGATCTACTACAGAAAGCAATGTGCATACAAAGGTCAATTTGAGCGAAAATGCAGTAGCTATGTTGTGTTTTACAAATATAAATAAATGAGCCAATAATATTTCACAACAAATTATCCTACAAATTGCATGTAACCTTTGAACAAATGCCTAGCTAGTGCATCCAAATGCATGTCTGTTATGATTGTGGCTTTCTATGAGATATCTCGCCTCGATTTTCTAAAAAAGTAGATTTTGATGAATTTAGCAATATTCTCCTGGGAAAAGCACTTTGAAATGCGTGCTTTCCTTTGTCACAGTTTAGGAAAATAACTAATATGAAAATCCTGTTCATTTTTGTGATAGCCTAACCTAAGCCTATTGAGACTCAACCTAATCATCTTACAAAATTACTTGGACAAACAACGATATTACTTGGGACCAGGGGCGTTGCTAACTTGCTAGACACAAAGTTCTACTGGGGTACAGCAGGTCCCCCATTATTTGTCTGAGATAGCAACAGTAACTAAGGAAGGCGGGGCTTACAATGAAAGGGATAGTTCACTTTAATTTTTGATGTTTTAGCTTACCTCAAGGGCATCCAAGATGTAGGAGTCTTTGTTTCCACAGTATTTTAAATTTTTATAATTTTAGGTCAAACCGTTCTTGTCTGTCAGTCATATAATGCAGGTATATGGGGTCCTCCTCAAAGGGGAGACATGATTTAAACATGATTTAATGACTCGTAAATGATTTAAAGTACACGTTGATGGTCTAAGACACGAAACGAGCGGTTTGTTTGAGAAAACGAACAGTATTTATATCGTTTTTACCTCTTGTAATCACAGTCACATCCAAGTGATCTGAGGGCGCGGGTGCTTCTGTCTGCCCAAGCGCCGGAAGTGATCTATCGCACGTGTACAGTGTGTCACTCATTGTTTACACAGAGATTTCGGAAATGTTACTGTGGTGAGCAGGACGGCCGAGGGACGTGAGAGAAAGTCGCGAGGCCGGTGGTGCGATTGCTAATGAGCAGCACCTGTGAAGCACACCGGTCTCGCATCTCTCACGAAGGAGCGGAGCCATACCGGCTGAAAAGTTCAGGGAAGAAAGAGGCAGGAACCGGATGACAATAAAAATAAGACTTTATTTAAACAAAATAAACAAATAAATTACCTGCCAGCAGCCCCTCACGGACGACTGCTGGCTACCGAAAATAAAATATAAAATACCGGCCAGCAGCCCCTCGCGGACGACTGCTGGCTTACCAAATAAAATATAAAATACAAACAAAAGCAGGCCTGTTCCTCTCTCGATCATCCACTCCGTCGCTCCCCCTTTATGCCTCCGCTCCTTCGTGAGAAATGCGAGACCGGTGTGCTTCACAGGTGCTGCTCATTAGCAATCGCACCACTGGCCTCGCGACTTTCTCTCACGTCCCTCGGCCGTCCTGCTCACCACAGTTACCTTTCACTGTGAAAATCTAAACATATTTAGATATACAGGAAATTGCAATGGAAGACGATTTTGATATATCAACAGACAACATTGTTTTTTCGCAACCGTGCAAGAGATCACTTCCGGTGCTTTCCGTGCGCCCGTGCCTTCAGATCACTTGGACGTGACTGTGATTACAAGAGGTAAAAACAATATAAATACTGTACGTTTTCTCACACAAACCGCTCGTTTCGTGTCTTAGGCCATCAATGTGTACTTACATTTACGAGTCATTAAATCGTGTTTAATTTGGACTTCTTTGCGCATGCTCTTTGAGGTGGTGACCATAGACCTCCATTATATAACTGACAGACACGAACGGTTTGACCTTAAAAGTATAAAAATTGAAACTACTGTGGTCTGCGGAAACAAAGACACCTACATCTTGGATGCCCTTGGGGTAAGCTAAAACATATAAAAAAATAATTTCAAAGTATTTCATATCCGAAAGAATGAGTCATTGTTACCACACACAATCAAGCAGTAGTACAGAACACACCAATTTGTTCATTTTCTTTGCTACAGTGCTGCAGGCAGGGGTGAAATTTGGATTTTTGGCCAACAAATTGGCTAATAATAGCTTTAAAATAATGTTAGCTGGCAGCAGCAGTAGCATAAATGATTTGTCAAGCAGATAACAGATTCTTAAACATGTTGCAATGAATGATCCATACTCCAAAACGTTAATGTGTATTGTCAACATTCAAAACTATTTGAACTCATCCAAAAATTCTTTGTAGTAACTCTACACACAAACCTAAAATGATTAGCCCACACACTCACACAGTATATATATATATTTGCAATTTTGCACATTTTTGCTCCCTGAATTGACATACTTCTTATAGATTTGCTGAAAGCCGCATAACACTATGACCTCAATGTCCTGTTCAGTTCACACACTGTGTCTGCTTTATTTAGGCTCCATCCCACAATGGCTTCAGGGGACACTTTTGCGGAATGGTCCTGGTCTGTTCTCAGTTGGTAACACTTCATACAAGCACTGGTTTGATGGAATGGCACTCATTCACAGTTTCACCTTTAAAGATGGTACGTCGGGTGCATGGGCAAGAACCTTTCAAATGGCATTTATGGAAAGTACTATGAACATTGTTACAAACATCTGTGTCATTTTACTATAGGAAAGTGTTAACAGTGGATTGGTTGAGCCATAAACAATTAAATTGTCATTTTCCAGGGGATGTATTTTACAGGAGTAAATTCTTGCAGAGTGAAACATACAAAAAGAACACTGCTGCCAATAGGATCGTTGTGTCTGAATTCGGGACCATGGTGTACCCAGATCCCTGCAAGAATATATTCTCCAAGTAAAACGATCATACTTTCTGGACTTTTTCAATTTTGTATTAAATCCAATCAAAATAACCCGGCTAACTGCTTCGTGTTGCTTTGTAGAGCCTTCAGTTACCTGGTGAACGCCATTCCAGATTTCACAGATAATAATCTCATCAACATCATAAGATATGGTGAAGATTATTACGCATCATCAGAAGTGAACTACATTAACAAAATTGACCCACTGACACTCGACACATTAGGAAGAGTGAGTCCAAATGTGTTCATTATTTCAATTGTTTGTTCTACCAACTGCATCTCATCAATTTGCTTTTGATGAGAAATAAATTGTCCTTCATTATCTTTTCAGACGAACTACAGAAACCATATCGCCATTAACTTGGCAACCGCACATCCTCATTATGACGATGAAGGGAACACGTACAACATGGGGACTGCCATTATGAACTTTGGCCGACCGAAATATGTTATTTTCAAGGTGCCTGCCAATGCCTCAGGTAACCAGAGAAATAGCATTAAATCTCTTAAGACCCATTCACACCAAGAACGATAACTATAAAAACAACTATAACGATAACTACGGTATATTAGCGTCCCCACTGACGCTCAACATTGTTTTGTTCATTCTTATTATTTTGTTTATTCTATTTTGTCATCTGTCTCTTTAAATGCTCCAACTCTTCAAAACAGGGTGGATTCTGATTGGCTATGCCTGGTTCAGATTACACGTTTTTGTTTTTTTTTGTCTGTTACGATAGTCCGATAACACGATTTTGTCGTGGACGAGACACATGTCAAACTACACGTTGCTTCCTGACCAGTCATCGCACGGCGTCTTTAGGCCAATTTATACTTCTGCGTTGAGGGTACGGCGTAGTGTACCGTGAGCATTTATACTTCTTCGTTCAGGTCTTGGTTGCTCTGCAGTACTGCTCCGAAACGCTAGTTGGCGGCGGAGGGTTTTAATGTTCCACTGTGTTTAGATTCCTCGTATGCTACGCCCAAGGCGAAACTAGTAGCGAGTGACTTCCGAAAACCAACGTAAACAAACAATGGATGAAGCGGTGAGTGTTGTATTGGCTGTCCTGTGTTCAGAAAAGAGTAAAAAAAGAAAGATAACCTAACAATGGCACGTTCCTGGATTGTTCGAAGAGGACAGTATGGGCTCAATCCTCCAAAGAGAACTTGAGGTAAAATATTGTTTACTTATATATTTTTACTTTTAACGTTAGCACCATCCTCTTTCTTTCGGTTCGCCATTTTTGAAAGTTGTGTACGGAAAGTTTCTGTGCTCCTATTGGTCAACCTCATACATGTGACGGAACCCGTCGTGGACGACCGTTAAAAAAATTAAACATGCTAGTCAAACTCGATCTGTTGTCGTTTACGAATTCCCTCGATACCCTACGTCAAACGGATTGTGCCAAAATCGGGCTAAAATCGTGTAATCTGAACCAGGCATCATACATTAGCTGGAAAAAAAATCAATCTGAAAGTAATTCCAATGATATTGTTTATATGTGCTGTTATTGGTATAATTGTAGTGTGGATCAAACTGGGTGTGAACAGGTCTTAAAAGTGTTTTTAACCCTTTGATGGGACTACAAATGGTACCAAACTTATGAACCTATATGAACACAAAAAATTGTAGACATGATTAGAAAAGACTAAATGGTAATTAAAATTGTCAACTGGCTAAAAATATGAAACAGTTCTGCGGTAATTTCTATATGCAAAGTATTTTTGGGTGTGTAAATTCAGTTCATAAATAAAAAGAGGAACCAGCACAATAAACACACTCAAAGTCCATTGAAAAAGTGCTGAAGATAGTCAAAGATGGACTGAAACGTTAGCTTAGATTTCAAGGTAGTGACGAAACGTGCTCTGTTTGCTCGCGTTCGGCTACGGTGGAAACATGACGTCACAATTTGTCGACCTTCGGCGGTTATGTAGATATAAATGTCTCATTCTAAGGTAATAAAAACGTCACGGTTTATTAAGTGAGTTCTTCATACACCACTGAATATTGTATTTCTGTTAATAGATACTAAAAATTTTTACACATTGCACCTCTAATTGAAAATAATATGAAATTGTGCTTTCAACAATTTCAAATATTTGTATTATTTTATATAGAAACAAACATTTTTGAGGTAAATAAATACTGTATTGTCTAGTACCATGAAATCCACACAAATATTCAAGAATAATTAGTATAGAAACAAACTGAACACTCTTAGAAGAAATGGTTCTATTTAGAACCAGAAATGGATATATAGGATATATGGATATATCTATATAGAACCTTTTTTTTTGGTAAAAGGTTCTATTGGCCAAGTACGGAACCCCAGGGTTCTATATAGAACCCTTTTTTTAAGAGTGTATAGAACCTTTTAGGGGTTCCAAATATGTAGCGCTGATAGAACCTTTTAACGTTCTATATAGAACCTTTTCTTCTAAGAGTGAAGTACATTTATTTAGTTAACTAGCCTGGCTCCGCCTTCCTACGTAATTCCGCCAAATTTTCATGTTCCTTCAGTACTACGTCTGGGATTGTGGTGTATTCTTTGGTTTTCTCCAGTCAATTTTTGAGTGTCTGAGAATGATGACGTTGATGTCGTGCGCTGGTTTGAGTTGTCATACGTAACGACCAAACATCAGCAATTGGTTATGGCAGATCCAATAGTTTTAAACTTCAACAGAGGACCCCCGTCTTGTCAATGGAGTGAGGCTAGACCCTCTGTACAAATGAAATGTACAAGAGTCTGGTGGGACCAGGCTATTAATAAAAAAAATTGTACACTTATTATCTTCAGTCTGTTCCAACAGCCAAGAATCCCCCTAAAAGCGAGGACTACTATAGATGGGCCAGCCATATTTCATAAAGAACACCTACACAACCTATGCAATTCTCATTGCAGATAAAGAGAAGAATAAGCCAGCCCTCACGAAGGTGGAACAAGTTTGCTCCATTCCTTTCCGCTCCTCGTTGTACCCAAGCTACTTCCACAGCTTTGGCATGACGGAGAACTACATAATCTTTGTGGAGCAGGCCTTCAAGCTGGATATCCTCAAACTGGCCACAGCTTACTTCAGAGATGTCAACTGGGGCAGTTGCCTGAAATTCGACAAAGATGACATTGTGAGCAACTTTTTTTTGTTTACAATAGTCAAATCATCTAAAATAGTACTTTATCCATTCTTTAAATGCCCAAAATAATCTAACAACTGTTGGTTTTGATCACCACATAGACAGTGATCCATCTGATCAATAGGAAGACTGGGAAACCTGTGAGCATAAAGTACCACGCAGACCCATTTGTGTTCTTCCATCACATCAATGCTTACGAGGAAGATGGCCATGTCGTCTTTGACTTGATTACATATCAGGACAGCAATCTGTACAATATGTTCTACATACACAACATGAAGCAAGATGTTGCAGAGTTTATAGAGAACAACAAGGATTTCTCTCGACCGACATGCCAGCGGTTTGTCCTTCCTCTCAACATAGACAAGGTAAAATAGGAAATATAAAGTAAAAATGATTAAATTACATAATGCCTGGTTCAGATTACACCATTTTTTTTGTCTGTTACGATAGTCACTGTGTCAGATTACGCGATTTTGACTCCTAAAATCTTGTCGTGTCATGGACAAGAAACATGTCAGACTACACGTTGCTTCCTGACCAGTCATTGCATGCCGTCTTTAACAGCGCGGGTGATGTCATCGAGAAGGCGAAACTAGTAGCGACCCAGACAGCAAACTGACATTGAATCAACGTGGAAACGACGTCTCTCATGACATTGAAACAACGTTGATTTTGCTCATCGAATTAACGTTGAACCAACGTCAGACGCGGCATTCTTCAAAGCTAAATGAAAATCGAAAATTGGTTTGCTTTCATAACGTTGAAACAACGCCTTGATTTCAAGTTGATTTTCCGTTAGTTTTGAAAGAATGACGCGTCTGACGTTGGTTCAACGTTAATTCGATGAGCAAAACAATGTTAGATCAACGTTGTTTCGATGTCATATTTCCACGTTGATTCAATGTCAGTTTGCTATCTGGGGAGTGACTTCCGGAAACGAACGTTACGTAAACAAACAATGGAAGAAGCGGTGAGTGTTGTATTGGCTGTCCGTGTTCAGAAAAAAGTAGAAAAAGAAAGAAAACCCGACAATGGACTCGTTCCTGGATTGCTCGAAGAGGACAGTATGGGCTGTCAATCCTCCAAAGAGAACTTGAGGTAAAATATTGTTTTCTTATATATTTTTACTTTTAGTTTTAACGTTAGCACCATCATCTCTCTTTCGTTTCGCCATTTTTGAAAATTGTGTACGGAAAAGCTTCTCGGCTCCTATTGGTCAACCTCATACATGTGACGGAGCCGTCGTGGACGACCGTTAAAAAAATTAAACATGCCAACGTTACGTTAGTCTTTTTTCGTGATGTCGTGAAGCATCGCAGACGCACCGTAGATTGTCGCCCACTATGACACACTATACATGATGATTCGATCGAATCTTGCGTCCCGATGCCCGTTGTCGTTTACGAATCCCCATGGCAACCTACGTCAAACGGATCGTGCCAAAATCTGGCTAAAATCATGTAATCTGAACCAGGCATAATCTTTATGGATGAGATGCAGCAAAAAAACTCTTCATCTCTTTAATTTTATCAATTGAAATCTTCAAAAAATCATTTTTTTGTCATTGGGTCTTCCAAACTTTATAATGAGAGTGAATTTAAGTCCATTAAAGCATATCCATCCATGATAAAAGTCCTCCACACGGCTCTGGCGGGTTAATAAAGTCCTTCGGAAGTGAAGTGATATGTTTGTGTAAGAAAAATATCCCTACATAATAACTAGCTTCCGGCAAGCCATATGTATGATTTGCTTAATTGGTTGCATCCTAAATCCAGAAGACAATTTCATTGGTTTTTGTTTATTTTTAAATGTGTTTACTTTGCTTGTCCTTCTTACTTGAATGAACTGCTAATTCCATATAGAACTCCTTATTCTCTTAGACATTCGCAACATCCTTTTTTCTTTGTTCCAAAAACTGTTAGTGTAGCTGGACGTAGGTCACTTCTGTATAAAGCCCCTTCTGACTGGAATAATCTTCCTGTTTCTTTGAGATCTATTACTTCTTTCAATCGTTTTAGGTTATGCCTATTCTCTTATCTTAAAATAACCTGTTTATGTTTTTGATTTTATTTATTTATTTATTTTTCCTTGGTTGAGATTCACTTAAGGATATTTTGCTATTACCTGGCTCTATGTTGACGATTTATGATGATGAGATTCTGTAATGAAACTACTAACTACTGAAACTATGTTGGGTGTAGAAGCCCACAAGAGTGTGAGAAGCAGGTTGAGCTTTTTTTGTTGTTGTTGTCTTGTTTTGTAATGTTGTTGTGTCTGTGTTGCATATTACTTATGTTTTTTAGGACCCCCTTGAAAATGAGATGTTGCATCTCAAGGGGCTATCCTGTCAATAAATTCACATACATCTCGAATGCATCGATTTACGGTGAAAGAGTAAATCATTCACCCATTATAAAGTGTGGAACTTAATTTTAAAAATATAACTAAATTTTTAAGATGATTGTATTCGTCTGAAAGAAGAATGCCATATTCACATAGTATAGCTTCAGGGTGAGTAAATCATGGGTTAATTTTCATTTTTTTGGTGAACTATCCCTTTAAGGCAAAGCATTTCACTCGGCGGCCATCTTTGAAACACTCGGGCAGCTATTTCAGTCGTGCCAGTACAGCTCCTATCTCTTTGAATGGGGAAACATGAAATCCAAAGCTGTTCATCAAAATTACGATTAAATTTTATGTTTGAAATTACCAATGAAATTTTTTTTTCGAAATGCTCAAATCATGACGAAAAACAGCATTTTCAGTCACATATGCAGTCATAAGAGTTTGTCTCAGGTAACTGATTGTTTGCTCACAGCTGGAGTGACGCGATGACTTTACCAATTGGTAATTGGCTCTTTTATTTAGAATGCGGGACCATATTGCGCATTGCACTTTCTCCCATTCATAGTGATATGAGTGCACCGTCTTTGCATACCTAAAGACTTTGATTAGATTATATTTGTCTTAATACAACAAATGTTTTTTCTTATGATATCAGGAAACTCCACCAGGCACCAACCTGGTCGTGCTGCGGGACACAAAGGCCACAGCAGTGCTGCAGGACGACGGCTCTCTCCACTGCACCCCTGACACTATTTTTGAAGGTGATTCCTAAATTCATCAGTCTTTGGTCATTTGTTTTTTCTCTCATGTTGACTTAATGTGTGTTGCAACTTGCTTTTATGGTCACAGGTCTAGAATTACCTGGTATCAACTACAAATTCAACAGTAAGAAGTACAGATACTTTTATGGCACCAGGGTGGATTGGTCACCCTATCCAAGCAAGGTATATATTTCTATTTTCTAGCATTCTGAACCTTGTTTGCCAGTTGAGCTATAAGACCACATTAACATTTTCTGCAAAAAATGCAATAATTTATCAATGTTTTCTCTTGTTATAGATCGCAAAAGTGGACATAGTTACCAGGACACATATAGTGTGGACAGAGGAGGAATGTTACCCATCTGAGCCAGTGTTTGTGGCATCTCCGGATGCTGTCGAAGAAGATGATGGTGAGTATTTAATGAAAATATTGGCCTTTTTTGCAAAATACGAAGAATATCTCTGCGTAATGCAGGCTGAAAGAGTTAAGTAAACACTTAAAGGAGTAGTTCACTTTTACAAAAACTTGTGCTGATAATTTACTCACCCCCATGTCATCCAAGATGTCCACGTCTTTCTTTCTTCAGTTGAAAAGAAATTAAGGTTTTTGATGAAAACATTCCAGGATTTTCTCCATATAATAGACTTTACTGGGCAACAAACGGTTCAAGATCCAAAAGACCGTTTCAGAGCAGCTTCAAAGGGTTTTAAACGATTTCAGACGATGAATAAGGGTCTTATCTAGCGAAACGATCCCTCATTTAAAAAAAAATAAAATAACAAAGTTTAAGTTTTATAAGCTCAAATGGTCGCCTTGCTCTGTTCTGTGATGCACGTCTGTGACTCGTTTATCAGAATGAACGAATTGACTCGGAAAAAGATTCGTTAGTCAGGCTGACTCAGAATAGCAGTGTTACACAAAATAAGAGTGAGAATGAAAACACAGGGCTCAAATAGGCAGATTTTAACAAGGGAAATCACACTCAGATACTGGGAAATAAAGTCCATAATGGGAAGGCCCAGGAGTCAGGAGGAGTGCCCTCTGGTGGAGATTAAGGGCACTCCAAATTGGTCCGTTATGAGGTTCCATGATGATTAGGTGACTTTCACCATTGAACAAAGATTTTGTAATTATGCTGTCTTGACAAAACATACAGTGAGTTTTTTTTCCTCGTTTTCAGGTATTATCCTGTCTTCGGTGGTTTCGTTCAATCCCCAAAAGCCACCTTTCCTAGTGGTCCTGGACGCTAAATCCTTTAAAGAGATCGCTCGCGCTACCATTGATGCTGCTATTCACATGGACCTGCATGGGATTTTCATCCATGATAAGTCTACCTAAAACGGACATCAAAATGATGCACCAAACCATTGTGAACAATTCTTATTTGTAAATTTATATATACACGAAATATAAGAAGAGAAATGAGTATATTAATTTTTTTTTCATTATTGTAAATTGTTTTATATTTTTACAGACATTCTGTAAAACAGGCTATTGTAACACGATTATATAAAAGTGATCTCTCCTTAATTGTTTGTGACAATTGTGTCGATTTTAAATTGTAAATCCAGTAATTTATTATTAATCTAGCCCTTTAATGAACCTGGCCACAAATGTATTGTTACAGCGGCACTAATATGTTTCTCATTTGTGAACCGCGTTTGGAGAAAAGCATCTGCTAACTGAATGATAATTTTTATAGACATTCTGTAAGGCATGAAATTTAAATGATTATCTGTTCATTGTGCTTAATGCTGTAAAACACTCTTTTACTGAAATTCTGTGCGTTTTGGTGCCATTAAAAAGAAAGATTTCTTTAGTATGGACTGTTGTTCATTGCATCCTTTGAATTGTTTACATGTTTCACGTATTAATGTCTTTATGAATTCTAATGAATGTGTGCCTAAAAACTTATCTAATTTAACGAAAAAAAATCCTAGATTTAAACTGGTTCTCTGAAATATATTTTCAAAAACAGCGTATTTCAAAAAAAAGTCTCATTTTAAAATAAAAAATAAAATAAATATATATATATATGTTTAGCTTCAACTGAAAATTAACCAAAACTACAAATCTTTCTTTTTAAATTTGCTAAAATAATATTCACAGTTAATTTATTAGTTCAAAATAAATATAAAAACATGACGTTTTATATATATATTTCAACCACATAATTGATATTATAATTTATTTTTAAATTATAGAACAGCTTTAAATGCAGTAAATGAATGTTTTATATAGTTTGTATAAGCGCCATTTGTTGTGCCTAATTTCGACCCCCTGCCAAATTATTACCCCCCTCGTTGAAGTCAGTACCTGATTGCCTAATCCCAACCCCGCCCCTAATTTTAACCCCTCCCCCACAACTAATCCTAAACCTACCAATACTAGGGGGGTAATAATTTGGCGGGGGGTCGAAATTCGGCACAACACCATTTATTAGTAGCAAGTTTGCTTATGTTATTAACATTTGTTACTCTTTAATTCTTGTGTTTATTTGATATATCTGTGAAACTTTTGTATTGGGACTCTTATTTTGAAGTTGTATTGGGACTCCTATTTTGAATTAAACGAGTGTGGACGGCGGAACAACACGGTTGGTTTTTTTTTCCCCCATCGTTGGTACTCTCCGATGCCAACTCAACGCATAAAACCTTCTTATGTCGTTCATATTATGTGGTTATAATAAGAGAAGTAAGCTTAGTTTAAGTCAATAATTGCGAACCATTAAAATAGCCACTACAGTTTGTACAATAATATCACATTTGTACAACCTCAAGTGGTCTTTATAGAACAAGCTTAATTCACCATATGTCACATTCGGACTCTCAATCTGCCAGAAAATATTAAGAAATAGCATATATATATATATATATATTTTTTTTTTAACTGTTACTTGTTTCTAAAGACAACACTGCCACCAAGTGGCCAATCATTCGTGTGATTATAGTTGATTATGTCATCAAAAATGCAAGACTTTATAAATCTACTGTCTACATGTTTATGGGTGTTAATGCTTACAATAGATCATATTCATCCTTCTGTCAGTGTCTGGTTGTGTTCCCTTGTTTATCACTAGAGGTCCTCGTTCTCACGGTGTCCTTCACATTGACTTCCCAGCATTTTGTCTGTCACTGTCACAGATATGTGTATATATTCCCTGTCTGTGTTAGTATGTGTACGGAGTCGTTGTTTTATGTCCACACTTCAAGTCTGTATTTGCCCGGTCTTGTTTTGTCTTGTGCCTTGGATTTGGGTTTTGACCCCATGCCTGAATTACTACAAGTTTGGATTACCCTTTATTTAATTAAAATTACTGCACTTGGATTTTTTTTTCCACCTCCTGTGTGTGTTTTGTGACACCTTGAAATGATGTTGATGTGTCACCGGATTCCCTTTATGCTTTTTATGGGATCTTATCCAGAGAATAAATTACTTCTGATACTGATAATGCAGTGACTTTGGACTAATGTTAAGATTAAAATTCAGAAAGGGCAATGTACAGTTTGGATAACTATAAATAAAGTAGTTTATGTCTAATCACAAATCTGATAGGACTCGGCCAATCTCACATGTGTGGGTTTGGTTGCAGGGTGTAAGTTGTGCCTAAGGTTTCTAAGTCTCCCCACATGCAGGATCTTCCTTGAATGTGAGGCTATTTGATGTTTTCATGCTTACACTGTAAAAAAATATTGTTGGTTTACCTTAAAAAATGAAGTAACCTGGGTGCCTTAAAAAATTGAAAAATTGAGTTAATACAATGAAGGAGATTGATTTAATCATCAGAAACTCAAAATATTATGTTATCTTAACCGCATAAATTATTTAAGTTGATTTGACAAAAGAAAAAATGTTGTGATTACAAATTATGAATGTATATTTTTTTTACAGTGTAGTATAACTCTGATTGAGTGAAAGTATCAGCACATCTTTCCTCAGCAAGCACGTGATCCGAGTCATTCATGTCACCAAACTGTAATAGGCCGGTAATGCTTTAAATGGGTCTGTGGGGGTTGTTCACGTTTATTAGTTTGTGAAACTAATAACATAACAGTTGAAACATCAACATATGGTGTGAGATCTTTTCATATACAGTAAATGGATAATTTTAGGTATTACAAAAGATGAGGTCATACAGTACATACCCTGTTCCAGTTTTCTTGAAAGCACTTATCTTATCTTTTAACTTGATGTTTCCTAAGACTACAATTATGATAAAGTGAGGCAGTAAATAACGCTCATAACAAAAGACAGCTTACATGCATTAGTTTTTACCACATTTACTAATATATGAAAACAGTCCTTAATCAGATTGCATAGAATAGTGTTTTTTTTTTAATAACAAATCATCATTCAAAACCGTGAACAAGTTTTTAGTTACAACAGTTTTGCTAATGTTCGCTTTAAGTCATGATTCTTTGAATGTTTAAACATCCAGTTTTTATATGTTTTTTTAAAAAACGTGTTTTCTTGGCTTTGCGAACGTTGAAGAAAAAATTCCAGTTGATAATTTGTTTAACATTATGGGAATGTTACTTTTTTCTTAAATTAATTTTTTTTTAATTTATTTTTAAGTTTTTAATGTTCTCTGAATGTTCTGAAACAAGTAGTAATATTTAGAAAATGTTAAACGAATGTCCAAATAATTTTTTTTTTAAGTAGCCTACAATCAACATGGATGTTTAAGTCATATCGACATTAAACTAACTTAAAAACGAGTCGAATCTTGCAAAAAGAGTAGTTTGATTTTAATTTTGATAATATGTTGTCATAACTTATTGATTATAGATGTATTTATAGTGAATGTTTCAGAAAAAAAAACACTCCACGTGATCAATGTATAAAAAGTGCTATTGTTACATTATTCAAGACCATACTAAACTTTGAGAGAACCTCGTCAGAAGGTCAGCCAAAGTTAAGAGAACATTCTGGGAAGTTCCTTCTGAAACGTGTTCCCAATCCAGTAAGGAAAACAAAGGGAGCTTACAGAGAAATTGCAGGATCATTGCATGCATTCTATGACATTATTTTTGAAACAGCAAACTCTGTTGAAGCTTAAAGGTTAATGTAGTGGTTCTTATGCGGTGCAAATTGATTCATATTCTCCCTTCTCCTCTGTCTGCATATGGCCACGGCTCTTGAAAAGGCCACTTTTATGATCTTTAAGTGCAGTGATCATGTGCCCTAATTTCACTATCTGTATTATCATGGTGGGTTAGTAAATTTTGGTCAAGGTCAAGAAGAAGGCTGGTATTTTAACATATCAGTGAATGACACTGTATGTGAGTAGTACAATTGCGCTTGTTGTAATTGTACACTTTAAAAAAAAAAAGGAGTTCAGTCAGGCGCTAACTTAGTAGAACAGTAAAACATTTATCAATTTATGGATATGTATAGCGTTAGTTCTCAGTCATGCTCGCAACTTGGACTTGACTTTCTGATTTTCCTCTTCAAATCAGATTTTCATTGATCTTGATTTATGTTGTTATGTTAAGAACAATAAATTGAGATAAGAACCCTAATGCCCCGATATCCTCGAAGTACTTTTTCATGGTAAAAACGACCCAGATAGCTGACATTGAATCAACGTGGAAACATGACATTGAAACAATGTTAATCTGACATTGTTTTGCTCATCGAATTAACGTTGAACCAACGTCAGACGCGTCATTCTTCAAAACTAACGGAAAATCAACTTGAAATCAACATCGTTTCAACGGTAGGAAAGCAAGTAACTGCGTCGATTTTCCGTTAGTTTTGAATAATGACGCGTCTGACGTTGGTTCAACTTAATTCGATGAGCAAAACAATCAGATCAACGTTGTTTCGATGTTGATTCAATGTCAGTTTGCTATCTGGGGAGGTTCAGAATAAATACGTGAATACAGAATAAATACTCTGAGCGAATGCTCAGGCTCAAACTGAGCGTGACGACAGTCGGACAGTTGTTAATCTTCTAGTAGCGGTGCCAAGCCAAATCTGAATCACCTAATTCCTCAAAAATTTGTTGATATATTTCATCCCGTTGCTTTTATGGACTCTATATGTGGGCTTCTCCCTTGACTTTGTGCCTCCATGTCCCCCCGATTGCCTCATAGACAGTAAAAGATTACATGCGAGCTTCTCCTCCTGTCTTTACGGTAATGTCTCGCGACAGAAAGTCACGTGATTATGATGCAATCGTTAGCCTATTATATACAAAAATGGCTTCTATGGGGCCGTCACGTAAGATACAAAGTAATGGAGCCTTTTATACATTGTCGTGTTTCTTTAGAAATAAATAATGGACAAATGAAGTCTTTGGACGCCTCAGATGTATAGTTATTCGCAGTCAAAGTGACACCAAAATGAATGGGAGTCAATGGGATGCTAACAGCAGGTGAAGTTCTGCTTCAATGGCGGCTCCCGCGAGGCTTCAACTTCCGGCTGATGGATTACCCCCTTGCACAAGACATGTAAAGCCATATGGCACAAATGGCTGAGGGCGGAAATATGCTAATACGGGACAGTCTGTCAGCGGTCGTGGGCGGAGCATGAGGATAAAAAAGCGGAGTGAATGGATTTTTGATCCAGTTGCTGTGTTAAATGCATAATGCCCCATGAGTTTATAATAGACTATCAAAGCATTCCCAAGTGCATATATCGGCTCCAAACATGTTATTATCTGCATCTGAAATATAGGCAGCTGACTTGTTGCCTCGATGCCCTATCAGGCAATGACTTCGCAGGCACCGTTTGCACACGAAGGTTCCTGATTTCGGACAGACTTCTGAGGCAGTGTTACGGTTTATTAATCTACATCAAAACTAAGTGAATATTTGA